CCACCCCCGCAATCCTCTACTACCTTCTCACTACCCAGAGCTGCGCGTGAGGGCCAGGGAAGCACGCGCACACACACACAAACCGGCACTACTCACATTCTGAGACATGGCATGGCGGCTGTGACGACCTAAGCCCCACCCCCTCCTGTCGGACGAACGTGAGCGGGGACCGGACTGGATTTAAAGCGGACTTGCTCGCTCGCGCGGGTCATGTTCAGGGGGGATATCGTCGTCATCCCAACGCGCGTGCTCCGGACTAGGATTTGCTCTTGAGGGAACACGAGCCCTCTACCAGCACTCACACAAGATCTCCGGCTATCTGTGACATCCTAGATAGATAGAGCACACGCACCCACAGTCCTCGACGATTTCCTTTCCTTTAGTTTTTCAATTTTCCTTTTTTGTTTAGCTTCTGAAATTTGACATTCAGCGGACCATAAACTTAGAAAACTTTTATAGTGATTTCTTTTTTGCTTGCACTCAAGGAATGTACGAAACCCACAAACTGTCAGGGTGTTTTCTCATTCCTAACTGAAAATTCACGTCCAAGGAACGTATAGATTGAGGAAAGTTTCCGAGTGATTTGGAAAAGACAGAATAAATCAAGGCCAAGCAGAGTTACAAGGACAGAGTTCCAGACAACCCGAGGCCCCAGTAGAAGGCTGTAAGACTAGAAGACATCACTTCTCCACAGACTCAGCTCCACTCACAAAGTAAGATCACCACTCACTCTCAATGCTTCCATCCATTCCCCTGTGCTCACACCACCATGTTAATTAACACAGGTCTCGTTTTCTGGGTGTGGTTTTTTTTTGGCGGTGTCTATTGTCCTTTAGATTTGGGGCTTTAGCCAAGAACCACACTAGGCTACAACGAAACTGTTTGCCAACTGTGTTTGTCGAGTGCGTTGTCAACAATGAAAATAAGAGACGTTAAACTTAATAATTGCGTTATGTTAATACCGTAGGTTGGTTTTTTAAAGATGTCCATTGTTGTGTTGGTGTGATCCATAGCCTTCTCTAATTTGTATAGTCCACAACTTATCGACAAAACAGTTGGCCAGCTGTTTCAATGCAGTGCGGTACTGAACTTATTCCAGTACAGACAAAAAGCTAAAGAAAGTTATAACAATAATAACATGTAAATCTTTAAAGTGAAGAGTTTGGAGATACAAGAAGTTATAGATCATCTCTAAGAAATCGTGGGGAAAGCGCCTTCCAAATCTCGGTCCATATATTTTGAACCTTTAGTTGTCATCAAAGTGACTCGCCGATAGGCGAGGTTCAAACACGAGCTCACATTGGCAAGGTTGTTGTCGGTCGTGATGAGTCGCCTTGTCTTCCTATCTCGCGCGGGAACTGAACAAGGGACGTAAGCGTGGATTTTAAAATGTCTTGCTTTGCATGTTGCAGAATTAACGTTTTGTCGAAATGTGTCTTGATCTAAAATATGACAATTTTAAAAAGTCAAACAAAGACATCTCAGGAATTTGCTCTCGCACTGAATACATCCCTTCTTCCGCCCCATCTCCTTCTCGATGTCTCTGTATGTATCTATCTGTATGTTCTTCTTTTTATTTCTCTTTGTCGCATTCGAACCTCTCATCCCCTTTTCTCTTTCTCCCTTCAGCTTCCCAAAATAGTGTAAAAGGTTTAGTAACTTTCACATATTCTCTCTTTGTCTTACTGTTTCTCTGTCTATCTCATTGTTTCTCTTCCACCTTCTCCCTTTCTTTCCCCACTCTCCCTTTCTCCGATTTGTTTGTCTGTCAGTCTATTTGCCTGTCTGTCTGCACTTTGAAATATTTCCTTTGAGCTTTGCATATCCGACCTGTCCATGTCATACACACACTTTTATCAGATTGAATGGGTTAGGATTTAAAAAGTTGTCGGGTATTTTTTTTTCGTACATAATATGTATGTGTATCCGGTTTTCCGTCAATTGTAAATAATATGTCGCTTCGGCAGAGCAGGTTTGTTTTTGTGAAAGCATTTTTCTTCCATTCTTCCATGTTTGTGTAGGAAATATATGTAGTAGCGTTAACACATAGTTATGCACTTGAAACTTTTGTGTAAGGAAATAAAAGTAGTAGTGTTCACACTTATTACTTACTTTTACTTTTTCATCCTCTGTTGCCGTTAAGCGTCGAGGGGAGATGCAGCATTCTAAAGAAGGCCAGCTCTGTAGCTCTTTCAGTTGGGATATCATAAATTCTCAGGGTTTTCTTGACTCCCTCAATCCATCTTTTGCGTGGTCTACCTCTTCCTTCATAGCCTGAGTGGCGTTCGTTACAGGCGGCCAAACTGTTTTATTTTCTGTTTTCCTATGAAATGCAGGTAGAACTCGGTGCCAATAGTCGCTCTTACTTCTTCGTTTCTCTGCCTGTCTGCGAATACAGAATCCGTGTAACACATAATTGAAGTGTGGTTTTCCAAAACTCGTTTGGTTAATGTTGACGAGCACCTGGTCTCACTATGCCGCACACATATATTTACGCTCATGTGTAGATATATATAATGTAAATACATAGGGGGGGGGGGGGGGAGTAGAACCGTGGTGAAATCAGTTGTTCATCAAAATTGACTAACCCGGTTTTGGAAAACAATTCTTCAATTACGCTATGGAAACTTTTAAAAGATCGGCACGGGGGTGTTTCTGTTCGTGAATGTTCTCCTTTCTGTCGTCAAGTGCTGTAATCCATCATCTCATCGGGAGACATTTTGTTTGTAACGAAGTAAACGTAATATCGATAAGAGGCAAATGTCAGGGTAATACAATAGGTATGTCACCATTCGGCTGCGTTGACTTACAGAGACACTAGCATTTATTTCGTAACTTTCAACAGTCCCAGCTATCGTTCGATCACTATCCTACCCCCACATGTCGGATTATTTTTGTATGCAGAACAGAAGGAAGGGAAGAAGGGGGGGGGGGGGTCGGGTAGATTTGCTGTAAGAAGAGATCGTGTACAGCCATAGATTCTGACATTTAAGTGCTCACTGTGACTCAAGGAAGAAGTTCATTGCTCTTTGATTGGCATTCCCCCCACACACATCTTCCTCTTTGATTGTGGGTGTTGTTTTGTTAAACTTCCCGCAGTTATGTTTTGTTTGAGAGCATTTGTAAGAGTGGGGTTGAACTATCTTGTTGGATGGTGTCTCTTTTATAATGTCTGTGTTTAACACCCCCAACGATACAATCTATGTAATTTAGGAGATGGGCTTTGACCCTGTCTGCCAGGGCTAACCCGTACTGAGAGGGATACAACGTCCCAGCAGAAAGACCGAGATACTCAATAAAAACTCTCTTACCTCGGGAATCGAATTCAGATCTTTCACGTGCGACAGCAAAGCGCCTAACCGCAACACTAGAGACACCGGTTGGCTTGGTTTGCAGGTTTCCGCCAACAATTTCTACTTGCTTACTTACCTCTTGGAAGTTTTTTTCCCATGCAGTTGTTCCCCGCTTACGCTAAAAGGTTTTTTTTCCGAGCCGTTGTACAATGAGAATACAGGGTGATTAAACAAGAATACGCCAAATTCATTGCACAATATTTTTAAAAAAAGAAAAACAATAGAAAACTCCAGCTTGGACACATGTATTGCACATAAATTCAAGTTTTTATTTCATGTTTCAAAAGTTCTCAATGTGGACACCACCAGCAGCGCCGAAAACGTCAAGCCAATTTGAGAATTTTTCCCAAACGCCTCGGAACGTCTCAGGGCATCGTGTTGGTTGTAACTGTTATTCGATCTTTCTTGCCATTGATATTTGCTGGAAGTGGTAAAACATAAACTTTGTCTTTAACATACCGCCACAAGAAGTAGCTATTTACTTTATTGGTGCTTTGGTAGGAGAGGTACTAAAGACCTCGCTCTCTGCGGTTGGCATGCCAGATCCCCGGACCTCATTTTTGTTGTCATTTCCGTCTTAGAATTGCTTTCGCTCAATTGTTCTTTTAACTGTGGCTTTTTAAAATTTGGGGCATGGGTGGAGGGGCTGGGGGGGGGGGGGGGGGGGGGTGTTTGTTTGATTTTTGTCCTGCCATTGGAAAGGGATGGGATGATATTTCATTTGCATTATAGTATGTCCATCTTTCTGCTTGGGTGTCCCCGTGACCTTCAAGCGCTGGTTTACCCTAACAGCTCGCATCAATTTTTTTTCAAGTGGAGAGTGAAATGGGTTCCTTTCTTTTTCCTTTCTTTTTCTTTAGGCGTAAGAAATGCAACCCCCTTCCTTCCCGCCTGTCTTGCTTCCTACATCTTTGCATTGACTCTAATTAAACAGACATTCTTGTGCTAATGTACGTCCCTATTTCGCCATCAAATGAGTTCCAAACAGAGCTTTAGTGCTGGGCTCTTCAAAGAATTTGTTGGCTACCCTCAAAACTATCAAATTATATTATGTCTAGGCCTGAAAATTCCCGGGAAAGAATTTTCATTTTCTTAATGCAAAGGTGAAATACAAACTTAACAGAACTTTAATCTTCCTGCGACGAGTGCTGCTAAATAATGGAGGTTTCAAATACTGAGCTCAGAAGAGTCAACCATTTTTCCCCAGCTTGAGCCGTCACTAATTCCACTGTCTGGATTGTCGTCTTGATCTTTGCTCTCACTAAAAAGTTTGCCAAGATTACGGTCCGAGGGAGTAAAAACTAATTTCCAATAAACGGTTTCAAAGATACTTAGTTTGAGATTTCCCCCCTTATTTTGAGTTTTTCACAATGTGTTTGTTTATCCAGGCACATAACAGGAAGGGGGAATGTCACAACACTCACTTGCTTTTGCCGCGAGCCTCAGAATACAAGCAGTAATCTTCACCTTCAGAGTACAAATTAGTGCGTGTGGGGATTGGGGG